CATCTTTTTTAAGGAGATTGGCTAATGGCCGGGCAATTTCTGCGGAATTTACGCTGTACTTGTGCAAGTAGTTGGCGAGACCAAGCCACTTTCGCAATTCTTCTGGTTCTTTGGAACTGGCCAGTTTACAGTGACCTCGACCTTAGCTGGATCCACTCGAAGGCCACGCTTCCCAATAAAGCACCCTAAAAAGTGAATCTCCTCTGCGCCAAAGATGCACTTGTCTGCATTGGCATACCGTTTGTTCGTGCGCATGCACTCGAGCACCGCTCTTAAATGGACGCTGTGGTTCTCCTCGTCTGTCCTCTCGTGCTCCGCATGACTGTGGACGAAGATGTCGTCGAATTATGTATGTGCATACGCCCGATGGGGCCTGAACAGCTGCGTCACAAGACAATTAAATGTTGCCGGTGCATTTGACAGACCTTGGGTCATCGCCAGCCACTCCCAGAGCATCCTGCTCGGAGTACTCACCGCTGTCAGCAAAATATCCCTCGCTCTCGTGAGCAATTGGAACTAACCATCGACCAAGTCGAGCGCGCTCATCGTTGTACATCCAACCATGTTGTTCTGGAGAGCATATATTTTAGGAATCGGCGTTTTTGCCGGAATGGTGGCAGCGTTTAGTCTATTACAAGCGTGAACGATACGCCACTTGCCATTCGTCTTACGCATACAGAACGTGGGTGTCGAAAGGGGAGACTTGCTTTCACGCACGATTTCTGCGTCGTGCTTCGCACGGAAAAAGGCGTCAATGAAGTCACACCGCTCATTGGGCAGGGCCGTTCGCGTGTTACGCAGTATTTGGTTCCCGGAACCAAGTGAATCTCATGATGCACACCTCGGTCCCGAGGTAGGACCGACGGGGGGTCTTTGGAGGCGACGTATTAATTTTTTTACCAAAGGATAGTACGAATCCGAGGGAATTTTAGGATTGAAGATTTACTTTGTGCGTTCAGTATGGTGTCCCCCAGGACAGCTTCAACCAGAAGCGACGATGAGTTGATCTTTTTGTCCGTCCGGTCTTATATTGACCACGTCGGCTAAGTCTTGTGCCTTTTAGGCACATCCGAATTCTTCGAAGGACATCTCATCCAGCTTAAGAAGAGCATCTACCGCAGCAATAGCCTCGAGGGTGACGTCGCTGTCTTTCTCTCCCGTCATACCATTGACAAGGGTATATAGCTGTGCGCTATCGCCTACGATACATACATCCTAAGTCAGGGTCGAAGCCTTGTGTCTCGCAGATTACATACGGCTTCGCCGACTTCTCTCTATAGAGGTATTGCGTCTCATCGAAACCATTGGAAACACGCATTTGGCGTCGACCAGTGTCCCCACTCCTTGCTTCATCGAATCCTTGATGTTATTAAAAACATTCGACGAAGAGCTGCTATTCTTACAGTTTTCGTCCAGTGGTAACGTGCCACACCACGTGCATCAGAAGGGCCTTGCCCAGGATGCCTCTGATCTCGTCCGACCGTGCAACTCTTGGCATGCAGCAACTGCTTCGAAACGTTAGCAGTTAAAACGGATTACGTGCCACTTCACGCGCATCACAAGTGTCTCGCCCTTGATGCCTCGGACCTCGTCCGACCATCTATATTGGCACGCAGCAATTGCTACGTACCGAGAGCAGTGCTTAGCAAATTACGTGCCACTCGATGAGCATCACTTGGGCCTCGCCCTCGATGTCTTGGCCATGCCACTCTTGGCATGCAGCGACTGCTCCAAAACTTGAGAAGCGCTCAGTGATTTACGTGCCACTTCAGCCTGCGAGCCACATTTGGGACTCCTGTCCAAACACCTTTGGTGCTCGACAGCTCGGACGCTCCGATATCCAGCACATTAACCGTCCCGCCCCAATGCCCTCGCCAAAAGCGCTTCTGCTTCAAGCAGAGGTGGGTTCATGACTCACCGAAGCTCCACCTTTAGACGTGCTCGTTACACCCAAGGTCATCGACCTCCAATTAATCCATGGCTCATGGCGTTTCAGCCATGCCATACCAAGGAGAAGGTCATACCTTCCATCCAAGTCTAAGCCTAAGCAGCGTTCCAAACTATCAAAGTCAAGAAACTTGACACCAAGGTCCACAGATACCCTCGTTACAATGACCCAAGACCCCGTCGCTAAGCGAGCAGTGACGATATCACTCAACTGCGCCTCCAGCGCCTCAGCATACAGCTGACTTCCTTCGATCGGGGAGCGTCCAGCATAATTGCCCGACAATCTGAAATCGATAAGAAGCTTTCATTGCATTTCAAACTTCTTAACAGTCGCTTTCACGACCAGCACGTTCCGTGTTCAAGAGCACGAAGCTCTTCGGGGCTGGGCTCTGCTGCCCTCTACCCTTTTGAGGCACAACAAAACTCAGTTTTCCCCCAGCAGGGCACCGCGCCTACTGGTTGTTGTCGTTTCCTCGCGAGAAACCAGTCTGGTACGAAGCGGGACGTCGATTCGACGAACCTTTACGCACCTTGCGCAGTGGACATCCAGTCTAGATGTGACGTGTGTTTTCATAGACAAAACACTGTCGGTGTTTAAACGCTACTCGGTAGCTCGGAGCTTTCTCTTCTCGTCCTCAGCATAGCTGAGATCCATTGGCCCAGGCCCGCTCGATGAGCTCTGAGGGTGTGCATTCCGACCAAGTTGTGTTGACTTAAAGTTGAATTCGGGAATCAATGCCACGTTCATCACTTCTTCGAAAAAAAGACGGATGCACACGAAAGACTTCCATTCTGACCGATATAGTGTCTAGTCCCTCCATAAAGACGGTCACTGCGACCAACTCGGGGGGAGGATCGGCTCCATCCCGGCAATGAGAGCTTTCAGCTCCCACCAACTTCTATTTACTCTGTCGGGCAGCATAGAAACGCGATCACACGAGATATACCTGGTTAGGCGGCGAGGACACTCGCAGAAGTTGACGCCTCAGCTTCTCCCAGGAGGAAAACGCAGCTTTAACCGAAGCACCGCGCGTTAGTGCCCATTTTTGCGCTCGGCCCCCGAGCTTGGAGATAGCCAGCGCCACGCGCTGTTGCTCGTTCTGGAGCATGACGAATGTCATAGCTATCTCGGCCTCTTCCACCAAGCGAAGGAGATTCTCTCTATCCTTACCCTCAAAGATATTAACGCTCACCATGAGCGGCCTGGGTCGGGAGTAATCAATTGACGGCAACGGTGGCGTCATGGCCGCAGTCGACGCTGACCGCTTTAGCTGTAAGTGCTCAAATACAGCATTTTATAATTGCAATAAACAGTTTCGAGGATTCGCAATACTCATCATAGAAAGTGATCGTTTTGAAGCCTAAAAATTTCTCGCAGTGCTGCGTGCACGATCAATAAGTGCCGAGTAAGCACCTAATTTTAACAAGTCGCCTCTTCATGTAAGAAAGACACTTCGTTAAGTATCATACTTATGACTTTTAATACAAAATGTGTGGCAGCCAATGATCAGGAATCTAGAATAGTGATTCTTGTATTTTGACCTTTCAAAGATCTGAGCCGTGTATGAAGTTGTTGATCATACTAGACATATATCGGACAAATTTTGCCGAATTAGTTGGAGAGTAGATGTGAAATCTTTAACTACGAGGATTAAGACTACGTGGTGAAGAATTTCGAGTGCTGGTCAAGTCAAATGCAAATTTAAAAGGAAATTGGAGGTCTATGACTAAATTTACTATAATTAAGACGTTCGAGTCGTTAAGCCACGATGTTTGCTTTGACAAAATAACGGGATATATATAGTGCACGTACACTTACTTGTATCAAACACACTTCATGAATGTCCGCGGGCGGTTTGTTAGCAACTTGTCATGCAAAAGATCTCATTTATTGAAAATAGTCAAACATGCGAATTTAAAATATATATGAACTGTAATTAATCTATGCATGGCGCCCTGTGTACTTGATAGCACATACCGTCAATCCGACGACCTAAGTTTTCTTGACTGTATCACTTTGCGGATGGACTAAGAGCACGTCAATTATCCGCCCTGCCAAAACTCGACATGTTCAGTTAGATCATGTTTGCCACTGCTGCCAAAAGATTTAAGCTTCTACTGGTCTTAGGTCATTGCTCGCCGAGAAATACCCACCAGGTCTATAGAATGCGCTGTGAGGAATCTATATAAATGCCACAACAATGCGTTAGCAGGGGTATTTTGAGGCTTCTTGTGCCACAAGTCGAGCATTTGAAAGTTAGAATGGCGAGCATTTCTCTCTGAAGGCAAGTGAAATTGGTATGTCCAATTATTGATCATGTCCCAGACGAGCGACAGCCGACGCGCTTCCAGTCATCGAGCTAGCGGGTCACATACGAAAAAATGCGTGTAGTATTTCTAAGAAAGAAAAATTTTCAGCACGAAAAGATTTAAAGCTACGAATATTAGTAGTGACCTATATTTAATTTGGCAAATTCGGTATGCTCGAGGTTCTTGTACAAAGCACTGTTCACAAACATCCCATAAGCACGGCACCACGCTTGTGCGATGAGAAAGCGATTGCCGACGTGGAGGGAATAGCCCCAACTCGGAGGGAAGAAGAACGACTTGGGAGATCAAAGGCAAATTCGCAACTCGAATGAAATGTGTTAATAAATCTCAGAGCTACATACAAACCACTCCACGGGCTCTAGAAGGTTTTAACAATTAAACATTGGCAGCCTATGAATCTTTTTACACAATTGAAGGTTTACGGAGGTTGAACAACAGCGTAGATTTATACCAGATCCTGGGTGTAAGGAGCTTGAATTTTGATAAGCATAAACCTGAATATTCGTGAAAAGTTTCCAGCAGAGGTGGAAACTCACATCAGAATACATAGATACGTCGGTCGTGTGACCAGTACAATCCCCAAGTACGGTTAAGCATTTGTTTATCGCACACAATGCGTGTATGTTCATAGAAGATGTCACATAAGCATGTGAAGACACCATTCTATATCCCGACATTATATTTTTCCCAATAAACGCAGAAGGCACATTGATATATCCTTAACAAATGGCTAAGCGTCGCTCTATACAGATGGAGGCGGTGACTACCGAACTCTGTTCAAGGTTTGCAATTTCAAGTCACTTCGATGGAAGTAAATCCTCCTCTCAACGCTGCAGATTCACTATTCGCGAGGTGGATTCCAAACAGGTGCGGCTCGCACCGACAACGTACAACCACTGCTGAGACCCAACAGGTTTGCATCAAATTCGAAATACACTTTCCGTACAGCAGAAGATAATTTTATGTAAGGAAGATGGAAGGTGAACCCCAGTCTTGCTTAGTAGAGCAGAATCTGTAATTTATGCTGAACATTACCATAGTACATGTGGACGTTACGATTGCGGTAACATTCGACACCTGCCCTGAGTACCCTCTCAGTTGAGAGGTATAGAGTGTCAATCTCCAATGCAGGAATGGCCGATTGTCCTGGTCGCGTATGGTTGAACTCCAGAAGAAATTGGATGGCCAGCGGGGAAAAATGGGTTTTAATTCTTGTTGCTGGAGTCATAATTTGATGGAACTCAGCCATAATGGGAGCGACTCTCTTCCGAGGAAATGGGGTCGCACCGCAAGATTTTTGCTTGTCAGCGTCACCGTCCTTGACATTGTTGACCTATAGTTAGACTTTGTGGATACAAGCGCGTCGTGTATTTTGTATGGCACATGACTTTTAACTAGATATTGCTGTACGAGGAGATATTGAACGTGCCGAGCGCATATAATACCATGCAGCTTGCCACGGGACACGACTCGAAGTGTCGAAGGTTATATTCGTCCTTCCTGTAAGTGAGACGAATTAAGCAGCGTGTTGGGCTCTGGATAATGTTTCGAGATTTGATCTCTCATAGATATGGCGAGGCTTGGACGCCATGATCTATTGATAGGGTGGAAGAAGTCACGTTTCGTTCCACGGAATTCTATTCTGATTCGTGAGTCTATCACTGTTGGCAACAGTGGAGATTTTGGCGTAATAAGATGCTACAGTAGCTTTAAGCAGAACATGCGATGATTTCAACTTTCTATTAAATCTTAAACAGTGCCTTAAGCAGAGCTTGGAAGGCCTCAACAGCAGTTAGTAGCGGCTTTATGATAACTCGAAAAGTAGCGAGTGTAACCGCAGTCTGTAGAATGCATCTCTGCAGCGACAGAGACTGGATGCGTTTTTTTGAAATGTCTCTCTCGAAGACATTTGAAAAAGCTGTGTTTACTGTCCCTCTAGCGTATTTTTATTGAAACATAATGGGGCTACTGTGTTTCGTGGTCACCCGGTATGGCCCCTAAGATGTGGCAGATTTGCAAAGTGCCTCAAACCCCTAAGCAAGATTCGGTGATCATGTACGGTTATAAGCTGCCTGTAGATGGACCAGCTCACGACGATACCCAGCTCGTTACCAATGATCTGAAATTAGTCTTTAACTTATTAGGTGTGGACCATCATTGTCAAGATGTCTTGCTTCTATCCACACTGTGTAGCACCCATCATGCGGAGCTATTATGTTTAACCGTTTGTGGTGCGGAAAAATTTATAATACCAGTTCTTTAATGATAATATCTTCCATAGCTACACGCCCCGAAAGCTCTCATCGATCTGCAAGATAATTCCTGTTTGCAACGATAAGCAAAACGATGAAGTCGCCAAAATGGTACGGTCAGTACCAGAGAAAAGGCCAGGCTCATCCTTTAATGGACGGGTCCACAGTTAGAGACCTTCGCAGTGCACTGAGTGCAAGCAGTTGAACAAAAGACAACAGACTCCATGTGTTATTTTTCTTCTGTGTTGCTAAGAAAATGACGTAGTTACACGAGATCTGTTTTGGGTGTTGTCCCAGAGTCGGGAAGTGCGTCTTGACTCGATTTGCAAAACATAATGTCGCGCTCCACACCAATGGGACTTAATAAGAACATAACTATATCATAGACGCCTTCGTTTGTGCAAAGCAAGAAGCAGGGAGTCAAAAGGATCAATATTATACACGCGTGAGCGACGTTTTGTGTCATAAAGACTGGTGCAAAAGCTGAATCGCGCGTGCTTATTAATGATAAAGTTTGGTAATTTTTTAATAGATTTTGATGAATAAGAGAGGGTATTAAAATTGAAGCAAGACTGCAAAAACATATCTTCCGACGTAAGAACTGATTGCTATACTGAATGCTACGCGACAGCATGATCTCCAACCTTCTTGGCTTCGCTGGTGTTTGTTGTCAGCTGCTGATGAAAAACAACAATAATTATTTCACTACGAAAACATTTCGATTATTATCCAATAAAAGGGATATTTTATGCCACCAAGACTGTCTAACGCTCAATCAAATAGTGACGCAGCTGTTCGAGTCACATCGTGGTTATGCACAACTCTATGATGACGAAAATTATCTCTTTTTTTGAAAAATATATTTTTTTACAAATTCTTTATCCTGCCGAGTACTAGAAGTGGAATGTGAAGAGCCACATAAAAAGTTGCGAGCTTTGCTCGAGAGTATGTACCCGAAAGCGGGTTGCCAGTACAGGCAACATTGGCTTTGGCGCCGACAAGGTCCCATTACTAAGTCATGTCATTGTGAAGCATGACTCGCGAAAAAATTCGGGAAAGATCAGTGGATTGGTCAGTTCTTCAGTCCTTTCAGTACTATAGGATTTGGCTGGACCAGGTCAACAATATAGTGCAAGCTAAAATGTCTTAAAATTATGTCAGATGGTGCTAGTGGGTGGCAGAGATGTCAGTCATCATGGGCGGAAAGCAATGTCTTGTGACTTTCTCGACCTGAAATTTTTTGAGCTTTAATTGGCCGACTCATGTCGTCCGTGATGCTTTAGCCCTTGTCATAACCTCTGCTATACTCCAAGAATGTGTCAATGGGCATGAACGCGAGATCACTTTTGAGCCTCTCCGGCTTACTGCGAAAGGGAAGAATACTTTGGCTTAAGACAGAGAACTACGTGAAATGAAATATGCACTTGTCTAAATTGAAGGTTCTTTGGGTAAATTTAGTGCATTTGTGACTGATATAGGTCATGCGACGTTGCGGACAGCGACATCGTCGCTTCATATTTTGCACCTGATGACAACTTGATTTGTCCCGCTTGTAGAGTAAAGGCTATAAGCCGGGTCAGCTTGACATGCTAGCGAATGCGCTATAGTAAAACCACAGTCGCATGCTACGGCGAAGATGCTGCCAGCTGACAAAAATCTATATAGCTTACGAATTACGAAATATACTTTGCGCTGCGAAGACAATCAAATTGTAAATAAGTTGCCATTTTATCGAAACATTCGGTTCACAATCGCTTCGTGAATCCTTATCTCAAGGTAGAAACTATAGCACTGACCCACTTGATACCTCATTTGTGGTGGTATCTCAGGAAATGCGTTGCAAGTACAGAATATAGTATTAGGCATACGATATGGCCACCTCGGGAATGAAAGGTAAAATCTAATATGACTATGCACTGACGAGCCATGAGTAAGCGCACATTTAAGACGTATAAACTGGTTAAAATTCTTCGTGTACGGTAGCACCCTGCCGATTACTATCGAGTATTGGCAGCCATCGGTATGGACATTGTTTCCACTTACAAAAACCATGTCTGGGATGCCAATATCGTGGTCTTAGTTGGCCGTCTGAGAAAGTTAGTTTATCCAGCTGCTTTCAGATATACTCTTACCGGAAAGGGTACATCAAAGCTGTACTTTCAGAAAGGTATTTGGTAATAGAGCCAAACGGGGGCCATTGAGTCGATCGAGATATGCGCTTTACAGCGAAGTAGTGGCAAACCTGGAACAAATGCTTGACTCCAGATTGTACATATCCACCGTTGGCCGTCCGCAGAGAGATAATTCGACGGAACGCGTTGATATATTGTCTCATATTCTTCAAGAAACTTCGATCTTTAGAAAACAGTATACTAGACTTCTCTTTTTGGAGCCCATTCGGTCTTTAGAACCAGCATACCAGACTTCTCTTCTTGGAGTCCCGGCAGGCATGTTAGAAGCGCGATGCAGGCACTGAGTGGTCTATCTGTTAAACCATTTGACTTGTTAGCACATCAGTGCTTGCCTCTAACTTATACAGGGTCACCAGCTTGAATGGGATCAAAACGCTGTCCATATTTCGTTAGCGAGAACAACTCCTAGGAAATTATCGTGAATACCACACTATGATAGAAGTAGGTACCACCGCACGCTGTATGACAACTTGCGGGAATAAAACACGTTAAAGTTGTGAAAAGTTGTGTAAGCACATGTTGTGTCCTACTTCTATTCAGTACATATAATATCGCCGGTGCGCGATGTCTCCGTTGTGACACGTGACAATTTATTGCCGCGGACGTTAAAGCACTTCCGCAACGACATTCAATCGATCATGTAATTAATCTAAAAAAACTTTCGTCCATTCTTTGCAATCGGTAGGAGGCGATATCGCTGTGCATTATGACGATTTGTCTGTGTAGATGTTAAATGACTCGGGGCCATACAAATTTTTATCTGGACTGTCCTCAAAATTGCAAGTAGCACGTTGTCGTGAATCGTATTTAATCGTCTCTGTTGCCTTAAGCTGAGAAGGTCTTGAAAGCGCTTTCATACCTTATGACATTCGCTTAAACAAATTGCAGCATATAGCAAGGGCCGAGGTGCCACAGAAGATGTGAAATGACCGATCCGGAATTGATGAAGGTAACTGGGGCACACATGATATTGACTTTCTCTTTTTCCGCTCGTGCGACGCGTATTAAATGATATATCAAAGTCGCACAGCTCCTTCCATAAGTGGTGTCATGTAGCACAATACTAATGGCCGGAATCCTAGTTAAGTTCATGACGCATATTCTGGTGGGATCAACACCAGTGGAAGTATTTTTACCACGTTGCGACTGACAAAAATGTAATTCTTAGAATTCTTGAGATACATGAAGTGCCTTTTTTTACTTTTCATTGACGGACGCATCCTTGTCGGATAATAATCTCAGATCATTTCTTATTACAATCAAAATTAGCACACCACTCGGTGTTAACGACACAGCAATGCCGTCAAACCGCGACAACCATAGGCAATGATAGGTAATGTCAGGGCCTTGTCGATTTACTCGCGAATTTCATTCGGCTACTTCGCCTGAAATTTGGCCTGTAGATCCCAGCAATCAGTCGCTTCAACTAGGCTCCACAGGATAGGATATAATTATAGATACCGCAGAGCACATTCGCCCATTTTGTTCCCCCGGAATTAGCTTTTGGGACCTATACGGTCGCCAACTCTCGCATCATCAGGCCTCTAGAAACGAGGAGCTTATATATCCATGACTTTGGTCATGCTCAAGATAGAGCAATAGTGTATCGCACAAGCCTACTATTAGTCAAGTGATCGTGGTCAAAACTACGTGCGGAACCCTCGGAGGAACCCCTATCACATAAGCGACACTATGACACTTACTGGGGAAGACTAAAAAATCCCCTAAATTGATGAGTGCCTCCAATTTCTGATATAGCAATGTTTAGAGATATACAACTATACAGGTACTAAAGTTATGGTGATAGGCTCACGCATTAGTCTGGCCCATAACAGAGAAGTCTCAAAAAGTGCGCTAGCCACGATAGACTACATATTTGTCGAGGAAGAAAAAGACGTTGTGGGGCAGCGCCGCAGTTAAGATGCACATTTTTTAAATCTTACTCGATTCGTTTTTTATTTTCGTGCGATAAACGTTAAATCTGCTAGCGTATTAATCATTTACGCCCCTTATTTTTCGATCAAATGTTACGGAGGGTCGAGATCCCACCGCGCGGGTCAACATCAAGAAATCTGGAAAATCGTTGGAAGGTTAACAAAAGAAAAAAAGTGATTTCTGTATCACCTAGCGTTTAAGAGCAATCGTACCCGGCTCTAAATAAAGTGACGCTTTCTAGATTTGCCGACTAATACTATCGACATCCTAGACTTTTTGAAGACATACAAAGTCCTTTATTATTAAAGAGAGTCGTGCAGTTTCATTGAACGCGCGATTAATGAAACCCGTAAGGAAAACAGAGAGGTATTGATGATTCCCATACCACATACGCGCAAGGAACTCCATGAGAGTGTCGGTTGTTTGAGTCTGCTTAAAAGTTTGAGGACTTAGACAGTGTAGATCGCTGTTTAGTCCTGGAGCTGGATTTGCTATGCGATCTTTTCTTAAGTATAAAGGTCTTCTTAGGATGAAATTTTAGATATGTCAAAAAAAAACATTATTATGGACAATTTCACAAATATACATAGATCCTGCCCCTCCCTCCAGATAAATGCACGGTTCCGGACGCGTTGTGCTGCACGCCCGTGCTACCGCGCGTGCCAATGGAGCTGCCCGCCGCTCACTCACATCTCTAGCTCGTAATTCTACCATCAAGTTCGCACGATCATCCAAGCTTGACACGCTCAAGCTTCGTGACGTGAATGCTATATCCGCTCGTACGCATCGTTTTAAAGCCGCATCGATCCTTCAGCTTCGTGCATTTTCAAGTTCTAACGAGGTGAAAGATGTTCCTGTTCCATCTATGGGTGACTCAATTTCCGAGGGAACCGTCGTAGAATGGCTTAAGCAGCCAGGAGATGCTGTGGCCGAGGACGAAGTTGTTGTCGTGCTGGAGACGGACAAAGTGAGCGTAGATGTCCGTTCGCCCTTCGCTGGTACCATGGGAAAACAGCTGGCAGCTACTGATGATAACGTAACGGTAGGTTCCTCACTCTTTCAGATTGTCAAAGGTGAGGCAGGCTCGCAGAGTGCACAGAGTACGGAAACAAAGGCTGTGCCGGCTTCCACTTCGGCAGGTGAAGAAACGATCGTTCCCGTACCTTCTATGGGCGACTCTATTTCAGAAGGAACTGTTGTTGAATGGATTAAAAAAGTGGGAGATTATGTGAGCGAGGACGAAGTTGTAGTCGTGCTCGAGACTGACAAGGTGAGTGTGGATGTTCGGGCACCAAAGAGTGGCACTATTTCCAAAACGTTGGCTGACGTGGACCAAACAGTAGAAATTGGCGTGCCACTCTTTTCGATAAAACCTGGTGGTGAGGCCTCTACTGCATCAAAAGTCGCTCCAACTCCCACTTCGGCTCCTACTCCTGAAGCCATCTCGACTTCATCACCCAATCCTAAAGCCTCGACGTCTGTTGCTACCCCCAATCCTGTCGTTCCTGGTGCTAATCCATTGATAGCAATGCCCAAGCGTGCAATTCGTCGTGAGAAAATGAGCCGCATGCGTCTACGTACGGCTGAACGACTGAAGGAATCGCAAAACACAGCAGCCAGCCTCACGACTTTTCAAGAGGTGGATATGTCCAAACTCATGGATCTTCGTAAGCAATATAAAGACGCATTTGAAGCCAAGCACGGTGTCAAGCTAGGATTTATGTCAGCTTTTGTTAAGGCAAGTGCGTCAGCACTGCTTGAAGTGCCTGGTGTCAATGCAATGATCGACGATGAGCATCAGGAGATCGTGTACCGTGATTACGTTGACATGAGTGTTGCTGTGTCTACCCCCAAGGGTCTGGTCACGCCAGTATTGAAAAATACTGAATCCATGAGCTTTGCTGATGTAGAAAAGAAATTGTCTGAACTAGCGATTCGTGCGCGTGATGGAAAACTTTCGTTGGAAGAAATGACCGGTGGCAATTTTACAATCTCGAACGGCGGTGTCTTTGGCTCACTTATGGGCACGCCGATCATTAATCTGCCACAGTCGGGAATCCTTGGAATGCACAACACCAAGATGCGTCCTGTTGTTGTGAATGGTGAAGTGGTCGCACGTCCTATGATGTACCTTGCACTCACCTACGACCACCGACTCGTTGACGGTCGTGAAGGCGTCACGTGTCTTAAGGCCATTGCTGACAAGATTGAGAATCCGGAACGTCTCTTGCTTGACATTTAACCTTTTGGTAAATATCACTTTAAAGGTGAATTGATATAACAATATTCATAAATTGGGTATTTGCAAAAAAAATATGAAAGTGACAGCAAATAGTAATTGTTCTTTGGTCCAAAAAAACAGTTTTTGTGTTCTACACATCACTAAATCAAATGTGTGCTTTAAGACACACAAAACGTATTCTGGCCATGTCTTCTCCTACTGAGATCAAATGGATCAATGCACGTCCCGACGACTTTCATCACCATCTACGAGACGGCGATGATGCTTTAAGATGCACTGTATCACACGTGGCATCACAGTTCGCACGTTGCATTGTTATGCCAAATCTTGTACCACCTGTCACCACGACACAGCAAGCACTGGCTTACCGTGCACGTATCATGGCTCACGTTCCAGAACTTAAACGTGACCCTAATAGTCCAATTGGTTTCGAGCCATTAATGACACTCTACATGACGGACGGCACAACCGCCGACGAAATCCATCGCGCCGCCGCGACCGGAATGATCTTTGCTGTCAAGCTTTATCCTGGTATAAACATTTGATAGGATTATAAGTCATTTATTGACTAATCGTGTCTGATTTCTATAGCTGGTGCCACTACGAATTCGGACTCGGGTGTAACGAAAATTCACAACATTTACCCAGCACTTAAAGCTATGGCTGACGTCGGCATGCCATTGCTGGTCCACGGTGAAGTGACAGACCCGACTATCGACGTTTTTGATCGTGAAGCCACGTTTGTGGAGCAAGTAATTAAGCCACTTGTGGCTGATTTTCCACAGCTAAAAATTGTTATGGAGCACATCACAACCAAAGAAGCGGCTGAATTTGTCTTGACAGCACCAGCAAATGTCGCGGCAACCATCACACCACAGCACTTGTTGTACAACCGCAATGCCATTTTCCAGGGAGGTTTACGCCCACATAAATACTGTTTGCCAGTCCTGAAACGCGAGATACATCGACAAGCTTTGCTTCAAGCTATTGCTAGTGGAAGTACCAAGTTTTTTCTAGGGACAGACAGCGCTCCACATGTAGCTGCGAAGAAAGAGTCAAGCTGCGGGTGCGCTGGTATTTACTCGGCTCACGCAGCTCTAGAATTGTACGCCGAAGCCTTCGAGTCAATCGGCAAGCTAGAGTTGTTCCGTGCATTTGCATGCGAGAACGGAGCTGATTTTTATGGGCTAAAACGAAACACAGTGGGCAAAACAGTTTTACGCAAGCAAGAGTGGAAGGTGCCGGACAGCTATCCATTCCAAAATGACGTTGTGGTTCCGCTGAAGGCTGGAGAAATTATAAGCTGGAAATTGCAGGAGTAAACGGCTGATTACTGCGTTTGTAGGTAGAAAATGTGAGTTACATTGGCAGTCACGTTGGCATTGTCATGTCGACGAGATGTCCAAGCTAGCGCGTTTTTCTCTTGTTTTCATTTGAAATACTGACTTTAATATCCGGCATGTTGGTTCAATCGTTGATGATGGGCTATGCGGAGAAGTGGTGCACGCTTTTGAATCTCCTTTCTTTTTCTTACCCGTTGTCATGACACTCCCTCGTACAATCAGCGCAGTCACAAAGCTCAAAAAGTCGGAAAATTCACGAAAGACTTGACTAACTCGGTAGCACGACTTGCCCACATTGTTGTGAGGCTGCAAAGGGTCTTCAATCACTAGTAAACCATCACGTGACAATGGCGGCACAAGCATTGACGGTGATTTAGAGCCAGCACAGCTGACACTCGGAGATAAATGCATTGTTGGGGGAGAAAGTGAGTGGGATGAAAATGTTTTGGCGCGGGAAGGATCAAATGACATGGTCGGCTCACCCCATGATACAACAGAAATATGGTCGAGGTTTTGTCGAAAATCGTTTCCGTAAAATTGTAAGAAATCCATCAAAAGTTTTCCAAGCAAAAATGGTTTTGCCTCATGTCCACCTTCGTCTTCAGATCCCGTCACAAATGAAGGAAGCACAACTCGTTTCGCTTTTTTGATGCGTTTCTTGTCCAATTCCTTCGCCTTCTTTGGCTGTTTGGCTGTGCATTGCTGTATAATCTCCTTGGCAATTGATTCTCCTTTTAAACACTGTGCGTCATACCGCGCATTCCAACGAGTCGGCACCTCCACTTTCAACTCACAGAAATCATCTTCATTATATGATTGTCGACTAATTTTTTGTTCGTCAACCATCGAAATCAAAGCTCCTTGCTCTTGAAGAACATACACAACCATCAGCAACAGACCGTAAGACGACAAGCCACCGACGTATGGATCATTTAATTCACGTTCAGCCAAAAAATGCTTTAATACCAACGCTAACTCTCGTAATCCATAAAACGCATTCGCCAGACCTTGTATTAACCTCACACTAGCGACACCATTATGATGAATCCCGTGAGGCTCATCAAACGTTATATCAAACGGGATGCGAAGCTTCGTATCCGTACTACGATCAGTCTTGTCTTGTCCGTCAGAAGAGATAAGAGTGACTACTTTTAAAAGTGGGACGGAAGCACGACTTATCGCGCTCACATCGACAAAGCCTGACAGTTCGCGTAAATGTTCTGCTAGAACCTCAACGCATTGCTGACTACTGAAATGAAACTCTTGTGTCGCTCCAAAGACAACCAAATCCACATCGCTGGCTTCTCCATGTAATTTTGTAGCAAAAGATCCATATTGTTCGACTTGTACGCAATCATTCCAAAGTAATTGAATTTCCTCTGTTACCATATTTATCGCCTTTTGAATCGACGGACGTTTCTCTTGTGCTTCTCGCTCATGATGGGCACAGAAATCTTCAATTTCATCATGTAACACTACTTGCATCATAGCAGTTTGCTCTTCGTACAGTCGTTGCAAATTTCCAAGCGATAATGCGCTTTTTCTCGTTCCTTCCGCACGTTCCTCATCAATGCGTCGTTCGCGTTCCTTTTCCGTAGCTTGGATGACACTTCGTCTCCATTCTAGTCGCTCTTCCCATTCTTTCTCTCTCGACATGCCATTCACAGGACACGCCGCGAGATGTTCGGCAAGATTTTCACGGGAACAGATTTCTCCACACCCGAGCACAGCATTTGGACAAACCACATCGTACGAGTAAAAATCCGTGACATTGTCTTCAACAACTTGATCCAACGTATCTGGCACCTGTCGATATACACACCGTTTCAAATGAGATTCTAAATCTTTCAACATACAACTAAATGTGCACCCGAACCAACTATTCGGGCACACGACTTCATAATCTTCCGAAAACCTTGAAATTGTCGATTGAAACCACTGCGTATTTTTCATATTATCCAGAAACATTTCTCGCATCATTGCTTCCTGTTCCTTCTCAATTGTAGCAATTGCCCATTGTCTTCGACGTCGAATTTCAGCTTCTTCTTCACATTGCAGCTGCTTCAATACATTTAAACGTCTTGCACGTTCTTTTTCAGCCGCTTCAATGACCCATTGAGTCCAATACGCACGTTCAGCTGCTTGCTGTTCTTGTTCTCCGCGTATCACTTCACGTTCTTCAAGACTAAGCTCACGATGGTGGAAAAGCTTGGACATTGCAGCATTTGTTGTTTTCTTAGAACATTGAGGACTTGAGAGTACATTATTATCTTCTGATCGTAACGATGGTGATGTGAAGCTTTGTGCATGTATACTACTGTCTTGAAGCGGTGTAAATGGCACAGTAGCGACACAGAGGTTCTTTGCGTCATTAAGCGGTGAATTGCACGAATCTGAGCGAAACTCATTCTCTATAGAAGCATTAATAGTGCAAGTATTTGACTTCTTTTTGGATCGGCGCTTGCGAGGACCTGAGTGGTGTTTCCGTGGCTTGTCCTCATCCTTCACAACGTCTAGCATGGTACCGTGACTCATAGCGCGTCGCTTCCGGTGATCGACGATTGATTAAGTACGTTACATCATTTAAGATTTAAATGTGGTACACATGAGTTATCACAGTTTACATTTTAAAGATATGAAGGTCGATATCGATGGGCTCGAGGTTATCTTCCCGTATGAGCGCATGTACTCTGAGCAATTACAGTATATGCGTGAACTTAAGCGCGCACTTGATGCACAAGGTCATTGTATGCTAGAGATGCCAACAGGTACAGGCAAGACTGTATCACTTTTATCTTTGGTCATAGCATACAAACACGCACATCCGACTGCCGGAAAGCTTATTTACTGTACTCGAACGGTACCAGAGATGGCTAAATGTGTCGAAGAGATTAAAAAGCTTGTAAAATACCGAGAACAATACTATGGGGATAAAGCACAGATCACAGCTGTGTGTCTAAGCTCGCGACGCAATATGTGTGTCCATCCGCGGGTTATGGCCCACGCTGATGGCGAAGATGTCGACGGACAATGCCGCAGGATGACAGCATCTTGGGTACGTGCTAAAGCTGCTAAAGCGCACGAAGTATCAGCAGATGGTGACGTGTCGATGCCCCAAGTGGAAGATGCGATTGAAACGTGCTCGTTTTACGAAAACTACGACACCCGAAGAAGTGACGATACACTTCTTCCTCCAGGAGTGTACTCTGTTGACGATTTGAAACAACTTGGAACCGTCAAAGGGTGGTGTCCTTATTTCTTAACACGATATGTCGTGACTTTTGCGGACGTGGTGGTATACAATTACCAATATATGTTAGATCCAAAAGTTAGTCAATTGGTATCCAGAAGCTTTGAGAAGGAAAGTATTGTGGTCTTTGATGAAGCCCACAATATTGACAATGTATGTATTGAAGCTTTGAGTGTTGATCTAGATCGGCGCTCTTTGGATCGAGCGTCGCGTAACTTGACGACACTATCGAATCATGTAAATAAATTAAAACAAGCGGATAAAGCAAGATTAGATGCTGAATATCGACGACTAGTAGAAGGTCTACGATCAAGTAACGCTGTTGTAGCGCCCACGTATACAAATCCAACAACGAATCAAGCAATTGACTCTAGCAACGATATTTTAATTGCCAATCCCGTTTTACCGGATGATGTATTGGATGAAGCTATTCCGGGAAATATTAGACGAGCTGAACACTTTGTCGCTTTCATGCGACGATTGATCGAATATCTACGCAAGCGCATTCGAGTCCGTCAAGTGGAATCCGAGACACCTCAAGCTTTTCTGCATCATTTGCACCAAGCGATTAGTATGGAGATAAAACCAATGAAATTTTGCTACACGCGTCTCAATTCGTTGATGCGAACGCTTGAAGTGACCAATTTGGAGGAATTTAACGCGCTTACAAGAGTTGCAGACTTTGCGACACTAGTAGCGACATATGCCGATGGATTTATGCTAATTATTGAGCCATTTGACGGCGCGTCTGGCGTACACGATCCTGTGTTGCAACTATCATGTCTAGATGCATCCTTAGCAATTCGTCCAGTTTTTGAGCGCTTTAGCAGCGTCATCATCACGTCTGGAACACTGTCTCCGATTGATTTGTATCCACGTTTGTTAAATTTTAACCCTGTAATTCGTGAATCGTTGCCCATGTCCGTATACCGCTCAAGTATTTGTCCATTGGTGATCACACGTGGTAGTGACCAGATGCCCGTAAGTACAAAGTTTGACTTGCGCGACGATCTCTCAGTTGTCCGTAATTACGGCACACTGTTGTTGGAATTAGCTGCATGTACCCCAGACGGGATGGTTTGCTTTTTTCCGTCTTATTTATACATGGAAAAGATTATTGGTCAGTGGGACTCACTTGGCGTTCTCAAGCGTGTACTGACTAGTAAACTGCTTTTTATCGAGACAAAAGATATTGTTGAAACAACATTGGCACTAGATAATTACAAGAAAGCGTGCGATTGTGGACGAGGTGCAATCTTCTTTTCGGTTGCTCGTGGTAAAGTAGCTGAAGGGATCGATTTTGATCGTCACTATGGACGTGCAGTTGTTCTATTCGGTATTCCATTTCAGTACACGTTATCGAACACTTTACGCGCACGACTTGAGTATCTTCGCTACACTCACCAAATTCGAGAAGGTGATTTTCTCACATTTGACGCTTTACGTCAAGCTGCTCAATGTGCTGGTCGAGTGCTACGAAGTAAAACGGACTATGGTCTCGTAATCTTTGCCGACTCGAGGTACAATCGTGCAGATAAACGTACGAAACTTCCGCCGTGGATCACACAATTTCTTGTCGACTCGCATTTAAATTTGTCGGTGGATATGGCTGTATTTATGGCCAAAAAGTACCTTTCACTGATGGCACAGCCTGTTAGTGATTCAACGAATGTCAATTCGGTATTACTTGATGCTGATGGAGTTTCTAAATGGCTTGGTAAGCATCCAAAGGAAAATGAAACCATGCACTGAAGTAGCAAAGATCGTAGAAAATTAAAGCTATGAAAAAATTGTGAGTTATATCTCTCCATTTTGCTTTATCCTATCCCAAAGAAATCGACAACAAGCAACTCAATTGCATGTATTTAACCACGAGGAGCGTCCAACACAATACCCTCATACTTAGCTTGGAACCATTTGATAGCATCATCTTTGGTAAGACGGTGTGGGTGGCCTACACGCGATTGCTGAATCTTTCGGCGAGCTACACGAGCACCTGGTCGCTTAAGTACAACGTAGAAGTCCATACCGTAAATACCAGTAGATGGATCGTACTTGATACCCAAGTCGATGTGTTCCTGAATACCGAAGCCAAAGTTGCCCGTTTCGGAAAAGTTCTTGCGCAGTAACTCGTACTCTTTGACCTTTAAGCCACGGTCAAGAATTTCCTGAGCCAATTCACCTCGGACGGTTACGTGGCACGAAATCTTTTCGTTACGACGAATGCCAAATGTACGGACCGTGTAACGAGCTAAAGTAGACAAACATCATTGATTATTAGTGATATTTCTTGGAAAACAAGAAGAAGATATGATCCACATCGTCACTAAAGTGACTAACACGCGCCTTTGCCATCCGTTGAGACGGACAAAGTACAACGACACCAACCTCCAAGATCATTGATGTGTGCGTGATGTGGCATCAGCCCGGTGTACTCAAGAACGAGCGCAATCGGGGATGAACCAGAAGCCTCAATTTAGAAGCTTCCAACACCCGGAAAGGCCGTAAATTGGGTTAGACACACTGCCGAAAGCAAGTGGCCCGGGTAAGTAGCCCGTTAAGGCAATTCTTTGCTTTTATCTTGTGAAAAGCTTACCCTTAGAGTACACAGGCTTCTGACCCGTGAGCTGTTCGAGCACACGAGCAGCACGCGTGAGCTTATCGCCCGATTCGCCGACACAGCAGTTGATTACAAGCTTGTCGACGTGGATTTCACGCATCACGTTGTTGCTCTTGTCGCCGGCCTGTAAAGCATTGAAACGCACAATTGTTAGGACTTTCATGCACACTATAGCGACAAATACACGAGCATACCATCTTGTTGTTTTAGAGCTTTTTGGAGAAGTACTAATGCTTGAAAACGATTAGCAAGTGAATTTGATTCAGCACCAACCAATGCACAATAAATATCCGCATATCGGTTTGAAATGCGGGGTAGTTTTTATGCTTTAATTCTGCTTTGTTGAAAATTATACAACTTGTTTGTTTATTTAGTGATGAATGCCTTCATTATTAGGCATATTTCTCCCACACCTTTTATAGATTAGATCTATGAAATGCAAAAGCATGAGGTAAGATACTTTTCACGAGATCCCTTGGATTAAAGACAGTTTTTCGCGCGCCAGACACTTCGTACTGCAAAGGTGCGGTCTTTAACATAGACTTTTGAAGTTGAAAATGAGGCTATCAGCCTTACAAGCAAACTCTTGGGTTTGAGCATGTCTCATCACAGCGTGAACTGGAAAAGAAAGCGGGTGCTTGTCTAACGTTGACGTCCCTGTCAGCACCGTAGAATCAGGAAATAAACGACGTCACACCAACGTCATTTATTTAGCTTGCTGGTAAGGCCGCAAGACTGGAAGAGCGACGAGCGAGCAACGTGTAACGGGGTAACAAGTACCCTGGTATGAAAGGATGGGTCACACACGATGGTGTGACCACACAATAGTGTGGATACAGCTTAATAAGACGCCACTACGTGGCTGGACTGTTTGTAGTTATGCATTTTAATCAGGCTTTACTATTTAGTTAGACAAATTTATAGATTTGGATATAGGCGGCTTTGCCGCAAAGAAATACAGTTTACGATTTGGACAAGAGAGTTTATTTGCCTAAGGTTAATGCTGTGGTTACTCTCGGAGTAAGCGGATTGCGATCGCTGCACTCGTACTAGTTCAAGTCGGTGACCTTACCTTAGCTTCCTCTAAGCGAGAGAGTTACGGCAGTCCCGCTGCACTACACATAAGTGTCTAAGAGTTGTGCTGTGATGCGTAAAAAACTTCAACTGGATTGGATCGATCGAAGCCATAGACGCAGCGTGACATATCCCAAGTCGACCGTTATGGAGTTTAACCGCCTTCTGTGCTAGTTGAAAATATGTTGAACTATATGACAAAGTCTGGTACGCTCAAAACTCAACCATGCTCAATATCTACCTCGTAGCGGAAAGTGTGCTTGCTGATTGCTTTGGATTACGGATAATGTGTGCACAGCCATACTAAGATAGGAGTGGACGGTGGGTGCGCTTAAGCTGCGAACAGTTTGAATCGGAGACAAAAGCGAATTCGTTTCTAGCTCGGGATAGTTGGAGAGCCACTTTAACCAATCTGATGAAATAATCGCCTGGCTGAAAAAGACTTTCGTGAGATTGACCATAGGCGCCCCTACTCCTTTTGATATATGTGTGATTTAGCAGTAAGGAAATAAATATTTTATCTTCAAGACTCGCAATGACTATTTGCCGTTTGGCATACAGCAAATTCTGATCATTGAGTGCTGACATAATACACCGAAGATAAGGTTCGATTTCCGACAATGTCACGTCGAGGTAATGAAAACTGTACTATTTTTGCTATTATTTTCTTTGGCCATAGTGGAAAGCTCAACGGATTTATTTTCTGTGGTGAAATACAGCTATCACGTGTTTTGATGTTGTACAGTGAGCTTGACTAGTTACACTATTAGAGAGTTGGGCTTGAGAACGGGAAAGCCCGCAGGACTACGGACCGCTAGCCTTATCAGATGCATGAAGCATCTTTCATTGTTACCAATACAATAAAAATATTAATATAAATATAAGCTGGTTTTGCTTAAGTTGAATTTGTATTTTTCTTCCTGAGCACTCGGAAGTATATTAATTTGCAATCAGGGAGCGCGATCCGTTGGGAGTTGTATAAAAGTACTGTGTGATTAAAAAAAACTCCGTGTTAGGTGTCACATCAACCAACTGTATCTCTTTTCAAAATGGAAATGTTGTTTCGAGTGTACATTGTATGCACTATTTACCAGCCCAACCAATGGCATTTGCGGACCCACTTCTACGAGACAGACTAAATTCGTATATTTGTTCGAACAAGTAGTACTGTGACGACATAGTATCCTAGTTGTAGTTTTACTCTGACAACGCCCAGCAGGTCGCAATTCACCTGCGGCATGTGCATCGTGGGCTTATGAGGTGTATCAAACATTTTCCACCAATCTTTTACGGATCGACGAAGGGATATATGGCGTTGGCAGTCAGAAGTTTTGATATTTGACTCATGACCTGATGATAAGCTGTGTCAGCAAATGAGTATATTGAGTTCCTGTTTTCTTAGCTATTTTCTATTCAAAGATGAAATGACGTACTGTATTTGGACAATGAGTGTCTACAACACGATCTACGTCAAGTAATATCCGATATACTATATTCCTCATGTATGTTGGCTGTCTTCTTGGTATGTCAAGCTAATAAGTTGAAATAACGTACTGTATTTGGACAATAAGTGTCTACAACACGATGTACGTCAAGTAATATCCGATATACTATATTCCTCATGTATGTTGGTTGTCTTCTTGGTATGTCAAGCTAATACATTGCTCTCACTATTATTTGGATTAAATAATAATAGGTTAAGTCCGGTCCAAAAATCCCAAAACCGATATCAACCATATAGTTAATTATGCTATTCACTCAAACGTCGAATTGCAACCACCATAGGCATCGAATGTTGGAAGCAGAGATTTTTTTGGTGCGATAAGCCTCACAGTCTCCCCTTTCTACAGCATAGCTATGTGTTTCAACTGGCAATTTTGCCCTGGAATCGCAATCAATATTCCAAAAAGAGCCTCACAGGAAAATAGCTCGGCGCTAGTAATGTACTTTCATTCTGTGTCTTACAAACAAGACGAGAAGACATGTTCGTAAACTACATGCTGCGCTTCGAGGGCGGCTGGGAGAGTGATTAACGTCAAGAGCATAAAATCCGTCACAATTTCCTAGCAAAGCACGCCAAGAACAGAGCTTAGAAGTTTAAAGTCTAATGATATTGATGGAATCACTACACCAGTGAGCAAAATGTTTTTGTCTTTGTAAGACTACATCTTCTACAGTTTAAAGCAGCAATAACAACGATTCGTTCATCAATAGGTGGAAAGATCACATGTCATAAAGCGCAACCGAAATCTATTCACAACTTTAGATCACCTTTCACAACTCATAATCACTCGCGCTACTGGAATGATGGAGCAGCAATTGTCGCGCTTCCTACCACTTCATTCTGTTACGCTGTTTTCCCACAATATCATCCAATTCTTCATTTGGAGGCTTGCCTTGTTGTGAGATCCCAACACTTATGTTTATTGGCTAGCTGAGTGTGTTAGAAATCTTGAGTGCTGTCGGTAAGAACCACGTTTCAGCACGTTGGCGGTTATCCTCACGTTATGCTTTGCATAGTATTTTTGCTATCATTCATCGTGCAACCTTCGTATTACTTCCAGTTAGACTTAATTCCACATCAATCACCCTTCAGCAACACGCCAAAAAGTGCTCCGAGTGGGGTGCTCCATTCAAGCGCACAATTTTGTTTATAACGTATTGTGCACCTAATTCGTCGATGTCCAAAGACATGCAAAGCACGAAGAGACAGATGCTGGCATCTATAGCAAACACATAAGTACATTGTCCATGTGTCTGTACATTGTCCATGTGTCTGTGCGTCAATACAACATAGACAAATGTGTCTGTAATAGCGTAACCGATCCTGTGGTGTAGTGGTACGCCGCTCACTTCAGGACCGGGAGGTCCAGGGCTCAATCCCCGGGCCGGGTAAAGTCGGGTTAGAGTGTAATGAATAAAACCCTACAGCACGTGCTTGACATGGCTTACAC